GGAAAAAAAGCTCCACTTTTTTCGTCAGAAGGAATTGCCGAAACGCAGTTATGTGACTGTTGATTTTCCACATTGTGGTTTATTTTGGTCTACTAGAACTTTTTCTGCCGTACAATTTTATGCGGTTGAATATTACGTCCCGGCTGAAAGATATGATTACATGATCCGATGACTATCGCCTTCTTGTTAATTAAGATGATTAAAGACCGTGCATATAATAAAAACTTTTTTCTACAAATCTAAGAAAACGAGATTTTCAATTGCATCTGCAGCAGAATTTAATTCACCGGTTGGCACCTGCGGCCCTAGTAACTCTGTCGAAGATGCTGCCGCAACTTATTATCCCTCGACGTTCAAGGATTTTGCCAAATTCCCATTTTTCGATATGTTGTGCTTCAGTGCAGCCCAGAATTATTCTGTCGGCTGCACCGCCAGAAGCTCAGCCAATTTTGGTTTCCAAATTTTAATGCAAAAGCGGGGACGCGCGACTGCGAGCTTCACAAAATTTGGGACCGCCAAAAGGCAATAACCACAACGCAGTTTAGAAACACATTAGGCATATATTTCTTGCACTATAACGCAGTTTGAAGGATGCTGGTAAAATAATTCCTCAATAAAAATGTAGAAGATGTCACTTGTCAGTCACTTTTTTCCTATGTTTACACTCTAAAACATATATATGGCCCTTCAAGTCCTAGCTTTTACTCAAGCGTGAGTGGCTAGAGAAGGCTACCTGGGAACATGTGTGGGCCACCGCTCCCATTGATTGTTTTTGTTCCACAACTTTTTATTCTGTCCTTAACTTGTATTTCTCGGTCTACTTCCCGCAATGCTCAGTGAAACAACCGCTGCTGGAAGTTTCAAAAGGACGTTCGAACTTCACATTCGCTACACGTTAAAGGACTTGTGTTACCAGAGTTGATTTGGTCTTGCAATGTTTTTTTTATTATTTATGCCTTGGTTTGGAACCTCGTGGCTCGTCTGATGATAAGCTAAAACTTCACTTAAAAATCTAAGCCGAGAAATGTGACAAGATTTAAAGAATCATAGTAATAGATAAGATTCGGTGATCAGCCATAATCTGCAAGCTGGTCTGAAATAAGCAAGATTAGCGAAGACTTGCTCTATCTTCACGGTGTAACAAGAATTTCTCAAGCCAGTAAATATAATTGACGCGTTTGAATTCAATAATATTCAAAAAATCTATCATCCATCCACTGAGCCTCGCTAATATACTGGCGCTGCCATTGATGGTTTGGGTGTAACATTGGCGTGCTAAACATCCACTGGTGACGTTGTCGTATCAGTCAGTGATGTTTTTACGCCCATTATCTTACAGATACTTGATACTCCTAGAGCAGCTGCCTTCATGCCGCAGATACACCTAGAGCAGATGCCTTCCTGACGCAGATACACCGAGAGCAGCTGCCTTCCTGCCGCAGATACACCTAGAGCAGCTGCCTTCATGCCGCAGATATATACACCTAGAGCAGCTGCCTTCCTGCCGCAGATAAGCCTTCATGACGCAGATACACCTAGAGCAGCTGCCTTCCTGCCGCAGATACACCTAGAGCAGGTGCCGCCTGAAGCATATATACTCCTAGAGCAGGTGCCCGCCGGACACAGATACACCTAGAGCAGGTGCATACCTGACCCATGCTACACCTAGAGCAGCTGCTCTCCTTATTTCAGCTGCACTTAAAGAAGACACATCTACAGGTGCACGCCAACGCTGCAGTAGCTAATTTCAGCTGTAGCTGTCGAGTAGCAGCTGCGTTAAAGCTGAGACGCGATCGTAGCTGTGCTGCGGCTGCGGGTAGCAGTTGTATTATGAGCAATTTTTGTTTTCATTTCGACTTGCCATTTCTGCGGCTGTGTCACGTCACCCTGGTGCTGGAAAGCTGTACAACTCATTTTAAACTGGCTAGTATTAATTATATTATCAATTATCCTTTACATTCTTATTATTGGGAGCTGTGAATTATTTAAGCAATTGGCATCACAGTTGTTTACGAAGGAAATATGAATCAATCTTATTGAAAGTAAAAAAAGTTGCAAATATGATATTGCTATAATCTCAACGTACAGAGTACAGAAACTTAAATAAATATTGCAACACTCAGGCTGAAAAGAAACAACCACAGTGGCGAAAGTAAACTCATAAAGCGCTCGGTGGTCGAATAATCAAGGCAAATTCCCGACGCATGTCACTCACATATTCACCCTCTGCTCGCTCTTGTACTTCGATGACAAAAATGAATAAATAACAAGTAGAGAAAATAGACCTGAGATAACAGCGTTTGGTGTTGGAAGCGTCAATTAAGGCAAGCTCCCGACGCTCGTCATCCAAGTGCCTGTATGTTAACGGCATACATATATAAGCTGGGTCATCCATCTGACCGCACAAGTCTCGGATATCATGGCAGATGTCTTGAAAAACTGTCATTCTGCACTGACAGCATTGCGTCGGGGTGTGAGGAAATTTCTTCTGAAGATATTTTATTTCAACAATGCGTTTGGTTCCCATGAAATTCTCTCCTAGGATATCTTGTTCAAGAAGCCACGGGTTGTAAGGAAATTCTCACCTATAATATTTTATTCCAATAATGCTTTGGGTTGGAAAGATATTGTCTCTTAGGTCATTGTGACCGAGCAATCCGTCGATTTACAATTTAATCTTCCCACTGCCTTTTAACAAAGGCGAAATCAGGCATACAAGTTAAAGGCAATTGCATTCCAACATCTTGGTACTATGCGGGACTACACGGTCAACGGTGAAGGTTAGGTTGATTTTTAGGATGAACTTCGTAAGCAGCAACTCGATTCTTATAAGAATACCAGAAAAACACGCAAATAGAATGTACCTAGCTGTATCCAAAAGGTGAACGATTGGGCACAATTTGAGTAGTGAATAAATGTGGCGCTGCGCACGAATTTTTGCGTTGCGACCTCTGACGTTTTGAAAATCTTGAATTTCTCGAAGAACATCATCAAGTGAGCCGACAGAATTGCCCCATTGCAAAAAAATTAGAAACGCAAATCTGATCCAGGAGTTCTGCGTTTTTTACTTTCATATTATTTAAGGAGTATGACTTTATTTGGTGTAAGTAATTCACATAAGTAATGCTGGTGCAGAGCAAAGAAGAAGGAAATACTATCCTGAAATAAGCTTGGCCTGCGTCGCTTCGTAATTTTTGGTCCTGTTTGGCGACCGCGTTTTATCAATAGTTCCGATGTTGTCCTCAAAAAATTTTATTTTTGTATGAATATTTTCCGTAAAATAAAAGTAATATAAGTATATAATATGATCCTCAATCAATATAAGTAATATATTGATCCTCAGTGCTGTGACCTCAATTCAATTGACGGGATCGTTGAGTTATTGGTTCATGACAGGATCTAGTAGTTTTTTCTTTTAGACTGGACTATGCCTAAAATATATATATATCTCTCCTGAATACTTGCATCGTCTTTCATATATCCTGTTTTCTCTACGTGCTCCTTGATAACTTGAGCGCTGGATGCTCATATGAAGACGTCAATGCCGTCTCATCCTTAACAGATTCTCTGACAGCAAATTTGATGGCTCAGGTCGGAAACGTCTCTTGAACACTTATGTCTGTCTGTCAATTTAGACGCTTCATTTGCATGAAAAATGCTGCTCTTCTTCCTTGCTGTCAGCAGGACAACATATCACCTTCATGCTAGACTGCCTTATGTTAGTCATGCATAACTTTTTGGTCAACAAGAATTGAAAAGCATAGAAAACGTGAAGTAAATTTAGTGTACATACCGCGAAAACGTTGTGGAGAACCGCTCCATGTAATGTGATGCGCTGTGTAATCTGAGTCGCTGTAAAAACCTGATCTGACCTGATGTAATCGCTGTAAAAACCTGACTATATTTTTGTCTCCCGAAGGGAGAAAAAAAAATGTAGCCAAAGAAAGTCGAAGAAAATGTAATTTTCTTTTACTAGCAGCCGTGATTTGTCTTACGGATATGGAAGACTCATCTCATGGATGCATGTATGAAGATGTATCCTTAGCTTCTGTATCCAATAACGATGAATTCAAAACACACTTCAAAAACATCATGTTTCATGGTTGATTTTTAGTATTTGTATGTATTGCTCCTGTTCAATGCATTTGTCTTATCTACGTTTACAATTTTCATGCAGTTTAACTATTCAATTAAAGGGCACAGAGTTTAGATGGAGAACATTCCTAGAATAAAATTTTACTGTGCATCTAACTATTCGTTAGAATCGACATGAACTGGAAATTCATCAGAAAAAATGTGATAAAATTATGAAACGAATATCGTTTATCCTTTAATGCATTCCTTAAATCTTTGCTTCTCTTAAAAATGCAGTTGAGATGATAAGTTCATTTCGGAGTTGGAATTCTTGAGAAAAATTTTTCTGCCTGAAGGGCATTTCTTGAATCAATATCGTTAATTATTTTTTAATCTCTTCAGAATGCACAATTTTACTAAGCTGTAATCGTAAAGCTGTAATCAAAGCTTAATGATAGGCTCGATTTTAAAAATTTAGAAATAAAATATACACAGGCATAATATGATCGTGAAGATAAATAACTTGTGTTAACACGTTGACTACGATTGCTTCATCTTGTACAATTATTTCATTTTTGTACTTTTTTTTAAGCAGGGTTGCCAGACGGTCATTTTTCCAGACAAATTCCGTGATTTAGTTTTTCTCAATTGCGTTGGCCAGCTAAAATTTATGATAGGGGTACTTCCTAATTAAATTTTAAATACTGCAAAAAGAAAATAAATTGAATTTTTATAGCGGAACCTACAAATAAACTAGTATATACATTAAATTATCGGCCTTTTTGGCCTTTTTTGTTCTTGGATTTGGCCGATTTTAGGCAACCTGAATTATGTAACACTACTTCCTGGAGAAATACATTTCGTGGTACGCATATGTACCAATACGTAGTCAACGTGTTAAGATAATGACGTGTCCCCGAGAACAGAAGCAGGCGATGCTGGTGCGGCAGCTGGAGGAGGAGCTGCGGCTGGCGAAGCACACGCGCCAGCCCAGCATGGAAGTGACCACCCAACTCGACGCCCTCGCCACTGAGAACGAACACCTCAGCAGGGAGGCTGCTATCCTCAGGGAGACCATCAAGGTACGCAGTCTTAAATTATGTGGTGTTATTTATATAATTATTAGGTGGTGACATTCTCAGGGAGACCATCTGAGGTGCACAGCTATAACTGTTGTGATATTATTTCAATAATTATTAGGTGGTGACATTCTCAGGGCATCATGGGCGCAGTCATAACTTTTGCTGCACTATTTTCTGCATTATTTACTGGACGTCGTGTACCATCGTCAGAGAGAATATAAAGTTATCCGGGACTAGCTTTTTGCTTATTATTTTCATGATCATTTCTTGATTACATTCCTCAGCAAACCATTAAATCCACTCTGCGTAAAGATTCTTTCAAATACTACACATCAACATTTAATGGAGAATTGGCAGATAAACTATCACTATATATATAGCACAAACACGAATTTAAAACGTTTCATTCGATTGAAAATGAAAATGGTAACAGTAAGAAGCAAGTAGTTGTCCTGCGTATTCGAAATTCATCATTTCTATCTCTGAAATGCCATCAATTAAAAATATTTCTTTGGAAACCATAAAGGTAATTCCTGATCGTTCTTATGTTCCTGCGTGTAGGAGTGTTTTAACTACTTGTTGACATTAATAAATGTTTCTCTTCTGTGAATTCCTATGAATGTGGCAAATGAATATTTACATTTAATTATTTAAATGAATACTAAATAATTACATTTAATAAATTTAAAATTATTATTAAAATTATTAAATTTAAATTAATTAATACGTTACATTACTAATAAATAATTAATTTAATTTTTAACAATAAATATTTAAATAAGTATGGAAGCAGTAGTCTGATAATTTTTGCATCTGATGTTCAGGAGCTGGAGCTTCGCATTGACACGCAGAAGCAGACATTGGGGGCCCGAGACGAGAGCATCAAGAAGTTGCTCGAGATGCTGCAGCAGAAGGGAATAGGTTAGTTATTCACTAGTTAGGTGAGTCATCATTCATTATTTAGGTGAGTCATCATTCACTAGTTAGGTGAGTCATCATTCACTAGTTAGGTGAGTCATCCTTCACTAGTTAGGTGAGTCATCATTCACTAGTTAGGTGAGTCATCATGCACTCTTTCACGACTCAACACCCATGTTCGTGCTTCTTAATGAATAATCTTGTATTTTTTCATTTATATGAAAAATTGAGGGGTGAGATTTATTTAACTCTCTAATAATGAGGAAAAGTCACGTTATTTTCAATCAAACCTTACTTAATGAAGAACTCTACTCTAAATATTCGAATATTTCTATTCAGTGGATAAACATTCTTCACACATCACCGGCATCGTCACTCGCGGAAAATACATTCATGGTTACCCGAGCAAAAATGCTTAATGTCTCGAAAAACATTTTCTTAGAAAACGCACGAAAGTAAAACAGAAGTAAAGTCCAAATCAAAACATAACGCTGATGCCATCACGAAAATAATTAATATTTGGGAATTGTACCAAGAGCTCTGGTCGTAAACTGTTGTTGTTGAGCTGGACTGTGAGAGAAAATTATGAGTAGCCGATATTAGCTATGCAAGCTACCAATTACAACTATAGACCTATACAAATTTGCGACCAATTATACTATAAAGAAACCTCCCATTCCAACTATAGAGCTATAAAGATTTGCCACCATTAAAGCTACAGACCTTTTGTAGAAGATTTGCGACTAAAATACAGTCAGAAATTACACCTATGAAATGAGTCCAAATTTTGCGTTGGTGTAACAGTGAAATTGAGAACAATTTATAATAGCAATAAATGTGTTTAAAAATATAGCACACACATAAATGTGTGTGCTGTTATAAATTGAACAACATATAATAGCAATAAATGTGGTCGTTTGCTAAAAATTTCATCGGTGGAAAATTAGTGAGCGCCTAGTCACGATAGAAATGAATGTTCAGAGGGTGAAAGATGTCTACGGACTTAACTCTAAACATTTAAATTACTCATTAACTCCCTGCATTCCGCATTAGAATGTTTTTTAGCCAATATTCCGCTCAAAAGCCATAACGGGATCATACATGTTCTTCTTTTATACTATTAAAATTTTTTGATTAACGTAAACTATTCACTTCTCAAGTTCACTACCCGAAAATTTCTGTTTCAAAGTTGAAATTTTTGTTGATCTGAACCCCGCAGACTCGCGAGCGTCAGTGCCGTATTTGAGATCTCCAATAGGTAAAAACTATGCCTCTCAGCCTCATCATTCCCCTCATCCCTCTCATCCCTCATCATTCCCCTCATCCCTCTCAGGCCCTCATCCCCCTCATCCCACTCATCCCTCTCATCCCTCATCCCCATCATCCCTCTCATCCCATTTTCCTCTTATTTCAATCTCAGACGACGGGGCTTGTAAAATTGTAGCTTTGTTTCCTTGGTGTTCCGAAAATCTAAGATTTTTTTAAACTTCTTAAAAGTTATAATTAAAGTTAATCAAAAATTTTTATTTTGCTATTATTGGATATTTGCTTCGGAACTTTTATCAATTATTGATATTGAGTAACAGGTGATTATTCGTTCTTTAATCTAAATTTTATTCATGATAAGACTAAATCAAACGAGTGCAATCTATACACGATAATAATTCAATCCTTGAATTATTAAATCTTGAAATAAAGCAAGGCGCGACAAAAGAATATCATTAATTCATACTGAACCCCATCACTTAGAAACATCAATGGGTCATGTTGTCCAAATATCTGATACACTTTCTGCTCAAACACTGCATGATGTCTTCCTATGCCAAGCAAAACTAGGTACGGCTGATCCACACAAGACAAAATTTTATCGAAGTTATGATAAAATCCCACTTATCTCACTGAGTGAGACCAATGACCACAAACATAAGGTGTAAGCTGTCGATGTGCGAGCCGAGTTGGACGTGTAAAGGTTTAATTTAACAACCTGTTGATCTTCCATTATAATGTAAATTTGTAACAAAATTTTCCTATTTTCTAACAACGTTGGTGTAAGTTTCATATTGTTTCACTAAAACGAAGCATGGGCCTAAACCTCTAAATTTTCCACTACAACTTATAAAAGCTGTGAGCTTCAAGATCTACCACAAGAACTTTGCTGTGTTCAAATTTTCAAGCTGCTCTACTAAAAATTTGCGAGGGTCATAGCTTAAAAAATTTTCCCGTAGAACGTAAAATTAGTCGTGAATTTAAGTTTTTTGTTATATGTTGGGGTAAAAAATACGTGAAGTGGGTTAACTGTATTACTTACATCTGTGTGAGTTATTGCATCCATTGCAATAACTCGTAGAACGCCATCAGAACAAAATATCGTAAACGTTTGGATAAGAAAATTATTGATTAAATATGAAAACATTTTTTCTTAGTTTTAGTTCGTCTTTTCGATATTTCGGTATTCCGTGATAGGAATTTTGACACGTGTTTCAAAAGGTATCCAATAAATCTATTCCCCTAACTCTAGCTAAAATTTTTGGTTCCAGGCCTGAGGAGAATAAAACTTTGGAATGTTTCTAATCTTGATCACTCACTAATTTTTACTATAATTTCAAATATTTTTATACAATATTCACATGTATCGAACCTCACCGTGATGATGATATTTTCTTCTTTGAAAGAAGATTAGAGAAATGGAAGAAAAATAATAAACTAAACATCAGCATCTCATGGCTCCTGAATTCTCATGATAGCTTTCACTTGACATTGAACGAACTTAAGCAGCTGAGCTTGTTTTCTTTTCAAACTGCAATTTCCAGTTGCTTGGTTATTTTTCATGTTAATTCCAGGAAAATTAAATAATGTTAAGCTTGCAGCCTAATGTTTGCCCCCATAACTTATCTTAATTCATAATAGTTTGTAACGTTGCAATAATGAACCTTAAGGGTGCAATGAACTCTCCAACATCCGCAAAATGATTTAAACGTGCCAACCTCACGTTAACCTACTTAAATAATCCAGCTTAATTGCAAGTCTATACTTTTGACATATTTTCTAGAGTTATTAATTTCCTTCTACCACTAACCACAAAATTTAATCTAATATGAATTATTTTCGCTAACCTTAAATGTATCGCTACAGGCAAAGAAGAAGAGCGAGCAATGACACATCAGATGCAGACTGTGTTCCAGAAGCAGGTGCTGCTCCGACACCTTTCCTATTTCCGTATAAGTTATTCTATTCTTAATGCTGCATTAACGTTTCACGGTTGTCATTCTTAGCTCTTATATCTATTAGCCCTTCACTTCTCATGCTAATTAATTTGTCTCTCTATTGTTTTGCTGTTAATTTTTCAACAAATTTGATTGCCAATTCAGGGACCTCGTCCACGAAATGTCCCATGACCAAATACAACTTATAAGTATGGGGCAGTGAAGGGTTAAGTTCGCAAACTTATTATTGGACTTTCCATCGCTCTTTAATCTGTCTTTTAGTTTGTTCTGAATTATTTTCGTTTGTATTTATAAAATTTGTGCGTATGCTGGTTTGTCTTCATGGTATGAATTGCTCGGTGATTGATCAGTGAATGCAGCCTTGCTCTCAAAATTATTCATGTTAATCGGACTTGACGCAAACATTTGCCTACGAGGCTCGTTTCTTTCTAGATTGTACGCTGCTTTGCCTTCTTAGCGCAACATATGCGGCCTCTACACGCCATAAATTGTTGGCTTACCTTCAGTCTTGAGAAGCTTTTTCATAGCCGTGTCTTCGAAGTCGAGTCTCAAAGATTTGAGTTTTTTCAATTATTTATTACCGATGTTAGATTTCTAACATTATTTATTAACGGAATTGATTAACGCAGAAGGAAAAGTAAGTAAAATGGCACTGGAAAATCATGAAATTTCCCGCAAAAACGTTCGTTTCTAAAAGCAACGGAGCCAAATTCTGGAATAATTGATCGATTTTCACGTTTAAACATCGACATCAGGAAGTTTTAATTGGACTTTATTCATAAATTTTTAGTTACTAGAAACGACGTGACCTTTCCCATTTTGCTGCTTATCCCTCTGTTTCCTTTTATCATCATTTGACCAATATGATACATCATCTCCCGACTTTTGGTTTTCCGTTTTCTGATATGATTTAGATCATTTTAGTTTTATTAGGATCCTGTTTTCCTTAGTAAGGGCATATAATCCTAATTTAATTCCTACCGCAATCCTAAACATGCCTCTTGTATGCTATTCTAAATACTCATACTTTCAGCTTAGTCAAGATCTTTCGTTCTTCATTTAGATGCGTTTTTATTTAAATTTTAATCGCTCTATGTTAAACAAACTTAATTCAGTCATGTCCAACTTATTGCTAGATTTTGCAATGAATTGATTCAACTTCTCCTCAGTTGTTGTTATGCACGGAAAATGTCCGGCTTTTATCCCAGTTTAATATCATCAACAGCTAACAATTATCGCTTAATTGCATTAACTACGATTGATAAGATCTTTCAAGTCTTTTATTTTTAGCACACAGCGTTAAATTCGAGAGCACAGTTTCGAGTAAATTGTATGTAAGAGCACTTTTGTAGATGCATTTTTCATGATCGGCAATTTGGTGAACGATGACTCTCTCAGCTACAGCCACCTGCTTGCTTTATAACGAGAATAAACTATACAAGTCTCTGTATTGTCCTTCTTTCATGTCAATATCAAATTATATTAGTCACCCGAGTTTTTATCTATGAAGAGTGTCAACAATTTTAGAATTGATGTGTTTTTGCTAAGTTCATTCATTGTTTTTTTTTAAATCCTACCTCTCCGATGTTTGGTTTGATTTCTCCAATAGAACAAAAAAATTTCCAAGTACCTTGTACTCTACTCAATACATTTTTTTAGCTTCTCGAAAAATGATGTGCCGGGTCACTACACGTTGGAGAATGACCATTTCCATAACTCTCTATATTGACTTTTTACTATTTTCTTGTGTGTTGCATGCTGGCTGTTGGTTGAGCAATAGCATGGCATGTTTTAGACGTGTACTCACCATAATTACCTCTCAGTCCTCATTAAAATTATCTCTAAGTTCTCATTATCATTGCCTCTCACTTTAAACCTCATGGTTGGTTTAGCTATAGCATAGCATGTTTTAGAAGTGTACTCACTATAATTACCTTTCAGTCTAAACTTCATGGTTCATGCTTCGCTTCAATTTAACGCGTTCCAGATTTTTCCCGAGCAGTTCGTGTAAAATTCGCTATTTATAAAATCGCAAATATCATATTATTGAAATTAACCATCTACAATACGAATAAATTTTAACAAATTTCTAGCATGACAAAAATCGGGACAGCATTTTCTTTCTCTCTCATATCATGGATTATTTGTAACTTTCTGGTTATTAAAATAACAAATCAAACTACTAATGAGATGAATTTCTTGAAAAGAGTTTGCGTTACATATAAATAATTTTATGATAGATAAATAATAATTTTGTTGATAGATAAATAGTTTTATTTATCGGAATTATAAACCAGTATTACCATCACCAAGTTAATGTAATGAAATCTGAATTCCTTTAGGTTGCTTCCCATACGCATGACAACCGTTCGACCGGCTCAATAAACATTCGGTGTTTGAAAGCAGCTGCGTGAGTGCGGTTTATAGGCTTGTTCCGTTGTAAATGAATATACCAATAATATACCGAAAATAATTCGGTTGTTTTCAACTCCCTGAATAGATTTTTGCAATTATAATTTCAAATATTCTCACGGTTTTTGTCTCAATTTTTTTGTTGGTCGTTGTGGCAAATTAAATCCCCTTCCTCAAACCCGATGTCTTTATCCCTCCTCCCCATCTCGCTCACTAAACCCTCTTTAAACCAAGCTTATCTCAATCCTGACGTACTTGACGTATTAATTAAGTTAGTGAGGTTGAAGATTCTGAAGGTTTTCGTAGCGTACCGCACGTTTGACTGATTTGACTTTTCATTTTACTAAAAAACGTTCCATCTGCAACATTACAAGACTTTTGATGATTAATGCTCCAATAGATTCATTTCCACCTACAACGCCCATTTGGATGATGGCCTAAAATCTAACAGACGGGACTGGTTCATTTTCGATTGTTCGCTCAAATTGCTTGCACCGATCGCCGTTTGTTCTCAGCAGTCGAGGAAAAGCGTTGCTCAGACTTGAGACAGACAGCGCTGCAGGTGCATCACGATGATGCAGCTTTGGGTTCTGACCATTGCAGTTTTTAAAATTCCGGCTTATTCTTTTTTTTTTTTGCAAAGGCTGCGTCAGAATTCAATCGGGGTTGCCGATTTTCAGACGGGAAAATTATTAAGCTTCCTAACGTTTTTGTTACGAAGACGATTTACGATTTAAAGGTATACAGAATTATCATTGATGGAAATAATTGTTTTATGAAATTTTGTTACGAAGGCAGCGCGATAATATTTAGTGATCGTTTCTGTTACCAAGGCTGTGTGAAATATTCAGGCGTATACTGAATTCTCCTTGAAGAAATTCTTTTCAGTTTCCTAACGTTTTTTGTTACGAAGGCAGCGCGATAATATTTGGTGATCGTTTCTGTTACCAAGGCTGTGTGAAATATTCAGGCGTATACTGAATTCTCCTTGAAGAAATTCTTTTCAGTTTCCTAACGTTTTTGTTAAGAAGGCAGCGTGAGAATATTTGGTTGTGTGCGTAGCTTCGAGCGGAGTTGGTGGAGCAGGACGGTGGTTGGGCTGGCAACAAGTCACGCTTCCTCTAACCTATAACAACCACCACATGAACAATGGATTGGTCGATGCGCTCATAGCAAGAGTAATTATCAACAGTTTTCACAATTAAAATTCTATCACTACTACGTTACTCGTATACGTGTACGCACTGTAGTGTCAAATGTCTTCTTCATCGATAAACTTTCCAGTCATTGTCATTCATCATTCTGGGCTTTCATTACCTTGCCGTGATCAAACACTCTATAGTCTTATTTGTATATTTCAAACTAAATTTCAATAATAATAATATCTTATCGGTCTTGATGGCTCACTACTTGCTTATTTAATGAATCCGCCGCTTGCAAGCTTAACATTCTTTACCCATCATGACAGTTCATTTTTCTTTGTTTTCAGGAATCAATTCGTTAGTATTTGTACTTAAAAAGGATAGCGTCGTTTTATTCTCTCGTTAACGTTCTGCAAAACTTGTTGCTGCTCATCCACTGTGAATGTGACGCTCTTTTTGTCAGTCTCTGATTCTGTTCATTTCTCTTACCTAATTCTTTTCGCTATTTTCTCTAACTCGGCCGAATTAAATTTTGATAATTTATGACTTGTGAACGCGTTTCAAGCTAATCACCTGCATTCTTTCTTAATCAACTCTTTCCATTTTCCAGTTCTGGATTTCTTTGATGCTCAATCTTTAGTTTGAATATATATTGCGATTAATTTTACTGGCTAATCTTTCCTCTTTTGAAGTGATCCTGGAAGCTTGCTGTGTCACGCTCTCTTTATAATAGAAATGCTTATGATTTGGCAAGTTTTAGATTTGTGCCTACGTTTGTAGCTTTAAGGCTTTGTTAAGAACAACTGAAGCGGTCGTGTCATCCTTATATGAAGATGTAAGTCGTATAGAGTGAGAGTGAGGGGGGAGAGAGAGAGGACATCTGCTGCGACAACGCTGCTGCTTTACAAGCTACTACAATATCTCGTATTTGTGATGTTTAGTTTCGCTCGGGTATTGTTTTTACAAGCGTGCCCTCCTCCTACCCCTCCTCCCTGGTTCTACAACAGCCACCATACAGACGCTCATCACTCCTGCATGTTTTAGGTGAAAAGTCGTCTGCCGCTGACGAAACTATCGCGCAAGAGCTCGAGCAGACCCGAGCAAGGCTTCTCGAATGTCAGAAAGAGAACGACAAACTTCGGGACGCACTTCAGAACTCGAATAATGCTGACACCTTGAGCTCGCACCAGGTGAGCTCAGCGATAACACTGCAAATGAGATCTCCACATCGGGTCCCTTTCTTCAGGATCATCCAAGAAGGAGCTTCGATCTTACATGGTTCTCAAGCATACTCCACTCAAACGTCTTGCATCTAAATTGAAAAAAAATTGCCTGCGGATGGCAAATTGATTTTTGCTCCTCAGGACACCTGAAGAAATGGCATCCGAAGCGGCGAGAGACAACGTTCTCTCTTTACACCTCATTCAGCGTCATTCATCATGTGTTTTTCTGCTTAGATTCTGAACAAAAGATATAATAATACCGTTCTGTTTGAAGATTTTTATAAACTATCAAGATAAAACTGCCTATTACCAAGCAGGCAGTTTTTATTATACAGTTTGTCCGATATACCGAGGATCATTCAAGGCGCAACGTTCAATTTCTGGCCCTCGCAGGACTGCTGTTCTATATTGTAACATTTTTCCTAGCATTTTAATCTTTAAACTTTTGATTTCTTTTATTTTTATTTAGTGAAACCATCACCAAGATTTCTGTATGACACGGTCAATTTTTTATTAAAAAACTTGGACTTGAAAATTAGTAAATTCCTCACTGGACGCCACTGATCAGATTTAGAGACGAGGTTTCACCAGGCTTGAGTGATGTGATGTCTCGCAGGGGCGCAATAGCCAGGGAGGAGGATGGGGGAGCAAGTCTCAAAACTCACTTAATAAAGATTCGCGCGTGACACAACTCGAGCAAGAAGTAACTATGCTTGAAGAAGAATTGGTGAGAGTGCGAGAAGTGGCAAGCATTCAGCAGCAGATGTCCTCAAACAATAGGTGGGGCAACCGCACCACTCCTCCCCCCTCCACGGACGACTCGAGGCTACTCATGGCCATGCAGGACCGTGAGAGGAAAACTAAGAGCCAAGTAAGTCCTTGCCATGGGCAGTATCTCTGGCAGACCCAAGTGCCATGAGTACTACCTCTGACAGACCTAAGTGCCATGGGCAGTATCTTTGACAGACCCAATGACATGGACAGGATCTCTGACAGACCCAAGTCGTCTCATGCAGGGACTAACTCCTAAAGAAACGTTGTACGAATTCCTTGTTGTTCAAAAGTACGCATTAATCATTAGCTAGTGATAGATTCGCCGCTCACTGGTAAAGGCAGAGAGCGCTAATTGTGACAAATTGATGGAAGTGTGAGATCTCAATCTGTTGAAAAGGTGAGTTGAAAAGGTAATGCGATATGTGGAAGTCTTCATAGTATTTGTACCTATTCTTCCGACGAACAAAATTTAAAAAATGTGGCATCATTTTTGTGTCCATCTTCATAATACTGCAGGTTAGCTATCGCCTTGGAGTCCATCTTCATAATACTGCAGGTTAGCTATCGCCCTGGTGTCCATCGTCATAATACTGCAGGTTAGCTATCGCCCTGGTGTCCATCTTCATAATACTGCAGGTTAGCTATCGCCCTGGTGTCCATCTTCATAATACTGCAGGTTAGCTATCGCCTGTAAAAGCATCCCTCGTATCCAGTAAGAGGAGCCAGCGTCTTCATCAAGGGAAGTTGTTCAGAAGTTTGGACTCTTGCATGCACATGGAACATGAATATCTTGTGATTAGCTTTACTGCGTTGAAGCATGCTTAATTCTTTTCTAAATTTACTGCATTTTGTGTGAAATTCCACCTTATGGTAGAAAATATTTGGTTATGCGAGACTGTGTACTTTTTCTCCTTACTTTCTGCATTTCTCTTCGAAATTTGAATGCTGAAAATAAGTTGGTTAAAGTTATTTTCCTTAAGTAATTTAGTGCCCAGAAATAAGTTAATGGTATTTAAAGCTAATTTATGTACATTTCATTACTGTTCAGACAGAAAACGCATGTCATGATAAACAGCATATATTTTAATTTAGGTGATTAGTAGGTTTGCATAATAAGATATTACATGACAAATTATTACTTGTTTTTGGAGCTAGTCTGCTCCATAAATATGCAAAAATTCTTTTATAATTAAAAGCAGTTAACCCAGAGACAATTCATTTGTACTGATATTCAAATCTTCCTCATCTGAGAGCAGGACTCTTGAATTGCTTACTAAAAGTCATGTGGTTTTGGCTTCTTTTTGAAGCTTTCGTCTCTAATTTGCTGGAGTTGAAACAAGTTCTGCAGTAAAAGAAGTCATCTTCTTTAACAACGTTCCAAGGTTATATAAAGCGACAGAATCGTCGCAGTCAACAAGTTATACCTGTTGCTTCTTCTAATATTAAAGCTCCTTTGCTTTACTTTGAAGTCGAAGAATGTAAAACTGTTTGCGGATGATTTTTTTTAACTTTGGGTAAATTTTAATTTACGCACATAGGAGTTGAGTGGAACTTCTTCATTGTCTAAAGTATTGATGAACACAAAAATATGGAGACATTTTATTATGAAAAAAGTATTAATGACTGCAATGCACGAAATTTGATTGAGCTGGAGAAAAATATGTAAATTACAAATATTGGTGAAGCTTAAAATTTGGATGCCACTTAATTGACTATTATACTGATAATCGTTCCCTAACCTTTGGTCTTAGTCATCAGGCTACATAGTTACATTAGAATTAATTGTTGCCAAAACATAGTTAAATATTGAAGCCAATTCCGTTATTCCATAACAAGAGAATAACTGCAATGATCACACGCAGCTCGAGGAGTCGCGCATGGAGATCCAGAAACGTGATCAGGAAATCCTGGCGATGTCCGCGAAGATGAAGACGTTGGAGGAGCAGCACCAGGACTACCAGCGCCACATTATGGTCCTGAAGGAGAGCCTTACGGCCAAGGAGGAACACTACGGCATGCTGCAGGCTGACGTGAGTGCTGTGGGTACCGCTGACTTGTTTTGTTGTTGTGATTGTGGCTTGTTCGTTTGTAAGATTTGGTATAAAAGTAACTAGCAAATAATATTTAAAGTATGATATGACATGCTGCGGGCTGACGTGAGTGCTTTAGGTACCGCTGACTTTTTAGCGCATTTTCTCAATAATGGAAAAAAGGCGCTATTGTGCTCGTCATGTCCGTCAGTCCGTCTGTCTGTCTGTCTGTCTGTCCGTGACTTCGCGTTTTCATCGACGAGAGAATGCGCTCTCTGTCACTCACTGCAGTGAGTACAGAGTTATATTTTGTTCTTGTTGTGATTGTGACTTGTTTGTTTGTGCAATTTGGTTTAAAAATTTGGTTTACTAATAAATTACATTTAATGTATGATAGGACATCCTTCAGGCTGACGCGAGTGCTGTGGATATACGCGACCCTTTGTTTTTGGCGTTGTTCTTGCAGCTCGTTTGTTGGTTAAATTTGGTTTAAAAGTAACTTCTAAATTACATTGAAAGTATGACTGTGCCATCTAACAAACATGCACAGCATATAACTTCTTTGTTTAATTTTCAAGGTAATTGCGTTGACATCAAACTAAGGAAAGATCAATGTATTGTCGCGTCATCAAGAGAGAATCTAATTAGAACCCATTATAAGATAAAAATATTAATGTGAATAGCACATAAAATAAAAGAGCTTTTTATAATTCCTTGATTTCCATCTGCTAATGAGCTGTAAAATGGTTTTTCTTCTGCTTGCTTCAAGCACATTAAGAGAACAGTAGAGCATGTGCAAACAATTTGTTCAATATATGAAGGAATTGATACTATATATATTTGTCGAAAATTTGAATATTGTTTTGGAAAATGTTTCTATCTCTGTTCTCTAACGTACCTGATCACGAATAAACTACCTTCCTCATAATAAATATTATAAAATAACCTACCTATCACGTATTAGTCTTAACAAAACGGAAGCATGTGCATCATATATCAAGCAACCTTTAAATAACAATTATAAATTTTCTCGTAATCCTGATAATCTCAAATAAATTGGCTCTCTAACTTTAGGAAAACTTCTCTCTAACTCTAATTGGCTCTCTATGAGCTCGGTCATTAATGCGGACTCATTACGTACTATTGTTCCCATTAAAAATAATATATTCCTGCAGTGAATTTATGCTCAATTGTGATTCAATATTCCCCATAAGATCCAATTAAATAGCGCACCGGGTATCGTAGAGTAGGTACACTAGCTAAGACTATTAATACAAAAACTATTAATTTCCAACTTGTTTAGATTTAGTTTATTTAGATTATTAGTTTTGATTAGCTTAAGATTATTATTTTTGATTTTTTATGCCTTAGTTGTCATGACGACGCTCGTTTACAGCTAAATGGTGCACGAGAAAACATATTGTCGTGGGATCTTATAGGCCTCGACATTTGAGTGGCCATTAGGCGCAAATATTATTAGTTCGTGTTAATTATGAACGGCTTATTTCTGCGTTAACACTAAGATTGAACTTCTTCATTTGACTGGCGATTGATTGATAACGTTTATATCAATTATATCAAATACGCACCAAGGTGTCTTTCAGTCACCTTACAAATGAGTTCCAAATTATCGTACCGCAACTAACCTTTGATATTGCACAACATACTGACTATTTGTGCTGTATTAAACAATATTTAACATTAGAACTAACTGAGCTGAGAATACAAATTTTTTAATTGTTTGCTTGAAATTTTTCTTACTTTTTTATGCCATGGAATTTCTCAAGAATTGTTAGAATTTGTCGTGTTCATTATTACCTGGAGCGCGGTGGAAAACTTCCAACGAATGTCTCATGAACTTAACGAATCAACTTAGAAAATATTTAATAAGCTTCGATCTTGCCTTATATATTCAAGCCATGTTTCAGCCCTTAACACAAATGTGTGTAGTCTATAAGAAAGAATTACCGTTTCAGAGAAATATTGAATCTTTTAACTTTGATTTAATAAAAAATTATGCACGAGACGTTTGCTGCCATCACAAAACTAATTAAGATTCTTATACAATTCTCGTCTTTAATTTGACTATTTTTGTAGCAGGTGGAGGGAATCAATTCAAAGATAGAAGTTACCATAAGAATAAAAATGATCATTCTTCACTAACGGAACGCAGAACTGTCTCTACTATTTTAGATGCTGATGAATTATCCAAGAAAATTTCATTCAGCAAAATCATCCGATAGCACTCGCCACGACCTGCATAACTGATATTAACTTGAATGTATCATTTCTCATCGTCCAAGTTTCGCCGGAGAGAGCCATCGCACACGCTCGTAACACCACACACAACACCAAAAACGATTTCACAAACAATACCAAAAATGAAATCACAAATGATACCCCAAATGATATCACAAATGATATCACAAATAATTTCACAAATGATATCACAAATGATACCCAAATGATATCACAAATGATATCACAAGTGATATCACAAATAATTTCACAAATGATATCACAAATGATACCACAAATGATATCACAAATATCACAAATGATACCACAAATGATACCACAAATGATATCACAAATATCACAAATGATACCACAAATGATACCACAAATGATATCACAAATATCACAAATGATACCACCTTATAACCATTGTTGTTCAGATGGAGGAGCTGCGGCAGCGCCTGGAGGACAAGAACAAGACCATCGAGAAGAAGACGCAACACTGTCTGCAGGCGACGCAGGAGCGCAACAGGTTCACCGCCGAGCTCACTGAGCTCAGGGACCACATGGACATCAAGGACCGCAAGATCAACGTCCTGCACCGCAAGGTAAGATGTGGACATCAAGGACCGCAAGATCAACGTCCTGCACCGCAAGGTGAGATGTGGACATCAAGGACCGCAAGGTGAGATGTGGACATCAAGGACCGCAAGGTGAGATGTGGACATCAAGCACCGCAAGGTGAGATGTGGACATCAAGGACCGCAAGGTGAGATGTGGACATCAAGGACCGCAAGATCAACGTCCTGCACCGCAAGGTGAGATGTGGACATCAAGGACCGCAAGGTCAACGTCCTGCACCGCAAGGTGAAGAATAGCCTTGGACTCTAGGTTAAATAAAAACTAAATGGCAATGTTGCTCTGAATGATGCTTACTAATTAGTTTTTTAACCATTAACTTTGTTTAACCATTAACTTTGTTCATGCGTCTGCAATTAACAAAACAAGCTTTTTGTTGGTCTGTCGTTTTGTTTCGCATTGTTTTGTGATCAGTATGTTCAACAAGTTTCCTGCTGTAATGCGTTCTGATAAGACTATGTCGCATTCAATGTTATTAGCATTGAATTTCTCTCGGCATCGTTTTAAAAAAGTATTTATTCACATATTCTCAAATCAGATTGAGAATTTGGAAGAACTTCTTCGTGAGAAGGACAACCAGGTTGACATGGCCCGGGCTCGGCTGACGGCCATCCAGGCTCACCACAGCAGTTCTGAAGGCGCCCTCACCTCCCTTGAGGAGGCCATCGGGGACAAGGACAAACAGATCCTGCAGCTCAGGGAGCAGAGGGACCGAGCTGAGCAGGAGAAGCAGCAGGAAACAAGTCTGCACGAACGGGACATTGCCGAGTACAAGATGAAACTTCACTCACTCGAAGGGGAAGTTGAGAAGCTCCAAGTGAGGGTGGAGCGAGCGCTGGCCGAGAAGGACAAACTCGAAGCGAAGCTTGAGTCCAGTCAGAGTGAGCTTGGCAAGACCAAGGCTGAGCTTGACAAGCTCTACAACGAAGCCGACAAGACCACAAGTGATCACGACTCCTATCGAAATCGCGTCGCTAAACTCGATGCAGAAAATAATCGACTGCGGTCCGAAAACGACCGCCTGCATCAGGATCTGGAACGCGAACGCGCCGCTTACCAAGCGTCTTACGGCCGTGGAGGAGGCGAGAGAGACAGGGATCGTTGTGACAGAGATCGAGATCGTGATCGGGATAGAGATCGCGACTGGGACAGAGAGAGGGACAGAGACAGGGACAGAGACCGAGATCGTTCGGGAGTTTCTCGCGACTCGAGGGACGCCAGAGACCCAAGGGACCCCCGAGATCACGAATCACTTCAAGAAAAGCTAGACAAATGTCAAGCAGAGCTGCGACGCGCACAAGCAGAGCTTCGTATGAACCAGACTGATTATGACAGGTCTCACGTCGAGGTCGAGCAGCTACAGGAGAAGATCGAGAAGTCGCAAGGTGAGATCTACCGCCTGAAGGCCCGACTTGAGAACGCCCAGTCTGAGAAAGACAGCGTCCAGGAGGAGCTGGAGCGCGCCCAAGGAACGATCGCGCGCATGCACGCCGAGCGGGAGCGTTGGGTCAGCGAGGTCGACAAGCTGAGGGAGGAACTCGAGCGTTCCCAGGCCACCGTCGGCAAGACCCAGATCGCCCAGGAGAAAACCCAGGCAGCTTTGGACAAGGCGCAGTCAGAGCTGGACCAGCTGCAGGAGAGGGCAGAGAGACAAGGCAACGAGCTCAGAAGGGTGAGTTCTGAATCATTGAGTAGAATTCTTTGAATAATTCATCATCGAATCTTCGTTTTAAATCGTTATTGTAAATTTTTACTGTACTTTTTACTTCACTAAATCTTCTTTACTTTACTTAATATACATTATCAGAAATTTGATTCAACAATTTATTGGAGCGATTATGAGTGCATTGGCTTCTCCCTTGAATAGTCCGGTTGGACGAGTGAAATTGGCACAGTCGTTGAGTGAATTTTCTTGATAAGTTTGAAGCAGCGGCCAAGTACGAGATGTGCGCGACAAACATGCGTATGAGTACTATGATGTTTGACCAGGTTCAAGCTGAGCGCGACAAACATTCGTATGAGTTCTATGTTGTTTGACCAGGTGCAAGCTGAGCGCGACAAACATGCGTATGAGTATGAGCAGCTACAGAGCCAGCTGGATAAAACTCATGGACAGACCGCGCGTCTCACCAAGGACAAAGAGGACGCAATGCTAGAGCTGGACCGAACCAGAGAGAAGATGGACAAACTCGTTGTGAGTAAACTCTTGTTTATTTGTGTGGTCCATGGATATTTGGCGAATTTATTTTCTTCTGAACTGAATTTTTTTCTAATATTATCTCGAGCTTACTCATAAAAACAACAGTTTAACATTAATTAACATCAATAATTACCGTGGGACATAATTTTTTAATATAACATTAAAGAGATCATGATTAGAAATATTTGGTATTATTTAATATTTTCTGACAGCCATCAATGTAAGCGGGACCTTTTTAAGTTCCAGTCAATTTGATCTTTGCCAAGGCTGCAGCTCCCCTTCTTATCTTCCAATTACACGAATAATTTGGGAGTTGAATTTCCAAAATAATTCATTAAATTCGTTCACAATATTTGGAACGAACTGACTTAGTTAATTCTATTTGTGGGTGAAGTGAATTTTTGTGAAAGTAATTGTGAGAGTATGTATTTTTTAATTGCCATTTTTGTACTCGTGTCTTTCTTCAGACTCTCTCACTTGACAGTCGGATTTCTGCAAATAGTAAAATTTTTCTCAGTATGACTGATGAATATATAATTGTAAATAAAGTAAAGATAAATCATGTAATGTCACTTGTCAGTCTTTTAGATTAACTCTGACCATGAAAACTGTAGAACATTTCTTACATAACGGGGCTTCTTCGACCGTGTATAGAGTCACAAGCAGAATTCATGATCATCTTCTCATACGCTCACAAATTTACAGCATCATTTTAACTCCGCTTCTTTTCTATCTTCCCCATTTATCTCAGAATGAAGCTCTATATTTTATCTATACCTATTCAAGAAAATGCAATATAATATCAACTTCTTAGGCGTTTCTTTGCCTGTCGATGTGGTTCTTTGTTCTGTTCATACGTTCCTGCGATGCTCGTCTAACTTCCATAATTGTTAGCTGCACGATCTTGTGTCAGTCCCAAATTTCTTCTGGTGTCATTTATTTAGATTTTTACCACCTTTCTTCTAAAATATTGCATTATATTTTAAATTATCAGGTACATAGATTCCTCATCTTTGAACTTGACCGCATTGAAATAATACGTATTTTGAAAGTTTCTAAGACCAGTTTCATCTTCATCTGAAAGTGACTAATCATATTCATTATTTATTTTTTAAATTATCACTCGCTCAAGCATTTGTATACTTTTGTAGTAATTAAATTAACAATTCTGTAGTAATTGAAGAGACTTTCGAGTCAAATTTGACAACCATCAAATGTAATATATTCTGGTAGAATATATTATTGATTTGATTGCTCATCAACTTTTCCCTCTTCGAAAAATGTTTGCTGTAAGAAATAAATGTTAATTCTTGCCTAGAATATCAGCGAGGGGCAAATTAAGTCTTGTCTCAGGAGTTCATGGCAGTAAATTGTGTCTATCAAAATATTCATTTTTACGAATACTCTATGTGGTTCTAGTCGTGTCTAGAATCTCTGTTTAGTTTTAGCATCGCTGAATTCACTAGATCTATTCATCTACTCGTTCCCCAAGCCTCATCTCTTTTCATAATAATTCACTCCTTTCATAATTATTTACTCGTTTCATAATTATTTACTTGTTTCATAATTATTCATTTGTTTCATAATTATTGACTCCTTTCATAATTATTTACTCGTTTCATAGTTATTTACTTGTTTCATAATTATTCACTTGTTTCATAATTATTCACTTGTTTTATAATTATTCACTTGTTTTCTAATTATTCATTTGTTTCATAATTATTGACTCCTTTCATAATTATTTACTCGTTTCATAATTATTCACTCATTTCCGAATTATCCTCTCATGTTTCATTATAAATCACTTGTTTCATAATTATTCGGTCGTTTATTTACATCGTTTTATAATTATTCGCTCGTTTCATAATTATTCGCTCGTTTCATAATTATTTACTCGTTTCATAATTATTCATTTCTTTCATAATTATTCACTGGTTTGTAATTATTCACTCGTCTCATAATTAAGTCGTTTGAGTGTAGCTCGGAAAAAAACAAAGAGATAAAAGTCTGTTGGCATATCGTGCGAGTAAGATTTATCCATGAGGACATTATTGCGTGTTACATAATCCATAATCAGTAAAATTATAATAGTTGGTAATCATTTAAATTTTAAATTGAACGCGCAAATATGTTCACTCATTCTCCACATGCACCAAATTGCTCTTCTAATCTCGCAATCCGAACTAAGAAGAAAATTAAAATAAATTACGCGTAATATTCTAAAAATTCTAAGATGGGAAAACATCTCGAGACTAACAGATCGAAAAATATTCAGGTCGACTTTTTTATACGAATAAAAAATTTTGATGATAACTTTTTTAAACGATAGAAATATTTGCCGAAATGTAAACAAATAGATATAACACTAATTACATTATTTTTGGTAATTGTGATATAGACGACAGATATTGTCACGAATGAGCAGCGCGCAGCTCAAAAGCTAAAAAGTGAGCACCAGCATGCGATAAAAACAAAATAATTGCTGGCTCAAATGGCACAATTTTCAACAGAGTCACAAAACGGAGGCGACTGAAAAACGTGGGTTTCATCCATAGCATCCTCGATCTTCAACATGCATCATCCAACATCCTTCTTTTGATCGCCATGCATCCTCATCTGATAGAGCCACGTGTCACCATTAGCTTCATCCACCCTGTACACTCTCTGTCATCCAATAATTATATGAAACAGATGGCCATTGTCACAATGCTATTGAAAGGCTTATCGATCAAATTATAATAAGTCATACTTCTCAATAAAAAAAATTTTTAGCCTCGACCAATGGAATTATCTTTCTTCGATCAATTTTCTAACAGACAATATGAATAAGACTCTAATATTTTTAAAAGAGAAATAAGTGCTTCTCGAGCCTCTCGTAAGTGGTTTTGTTCATGAATAAACTCCGTTGATTCTGAGTAAGGCGAAAAAATTGTTAGTATATTTTTCCACCTAGAAATGCATGTCGTAAACTATATACTATATCATGTAGACTTCGTTAGTACAACTTGAATAGTGGAGGTGGATTATATCGTTCTTAACTTCATATACTACGACTGTTATAAACTATTCTTCGGCGCCGACATCACTAATATACGTATGATCACTTGTTATCGTCTGATGCAGAAACTCCGTTTTATCGTATACAATATTTTACAAACTATTTTCATTTCATCCGAACTGTTCGACAAACATGAAATCCTTTCCAATCTCGTTGTCCTTAAATGTCTTTGTGAGCTTCCTTGTGTCTGTGTTTTTTCCCCGCATTCTGGTTATTCTGAATATTCCTAAACATTTCTCTGAAGGCTTTTATTGTGTTGTTTGGTGTGCATTACCACTGGTCTCTCCACGCCTTATTAATTGTTCGTATAACAAGACCAAATACTGAACCGATTGTTTTAAGTGTCGTTGCAAGGTAATTTAGTGAAACCTTTTCCATATCCTGTGTGAACTTTCTTCCGGGTTTGGACATGGCAGAAGCTTTGAGTGTTCTGTGTGGTCATTAATTCCCTCAAGACTAACATGTGTTGTCATGTATTAATGTGTAGTCACGTATTCCCTTAAGACTAACTTATCAGCTTTGGTGGAACGCGGTCGCATGAGAACGGCCCTGCCCAGCTCACAGGTGCACTCAGAACAGTAAACGGGGCACATTGTCCAAATAGTGATACACTTCCTGCACGTCACAGTTATACCCACAAACTGGGTCAAGATGACCGACACTACACTAGAGCCAAAAACTGCATCGCTATTTGGACAAATTCTCTTCGTTTCCTTGAGTGTACAGGTTTTAGTGTTAGTTCTGACCACCGCAGTTTAATGTGCTGGGTTCTCTAATAACCTTATAGTTGTTAAATGGAATTTATGAGGACCAAGAGTATTTACCACATGCTTGACCCACCCTAGACCGCTATGAGCCGCCTGCAGAAGGAAAAGGACCTAGCCTGTAGCGAGATAGTTTCTCTCAAAGACAAAATCGAAGTCCAGCAAAGCCAGCTGGCCAAGGCTCAGCGGGACAGAGAAATCGTCCTCAAGGAAATCGAAGAAATGCAAGACAAGTACGACAAGGCAGCGACCCAAGCTCAGCGTATGTTGGTACGTTCCAGGGTTATATGTTTTTATGTAGTTAACTTGCCAGCAACTATTAAATAGATTGAAACAGTTTACAAATCTATATCTGGAGCTAAGTCTTTGAATAACAAAGTTGCTTTAGTTAAGTTTCCGATCGAAAATATAACTCATGGCAGAGAAATTGATTACAGCCAGAAGCAAAAAGGTTTTTGAATAATTAGTTAGATTAAAATTTAAAAAAATAACATAAGCTAGAGTTCCTCTTTTGTTCCCAGTAACCGTATTTTGCGCTTGTTATCGTAATAAAGTAACGATAAGCATAACATGAATTAATTACTTAATTAAAAAGCATAACACACATATCTCAGCAAGTGTTTATGTACCACAAGATTGTTAATAAGTTACATTTGGCTGTGGTATATTTTACACTATAATCCTCCATTTATATAAAGCTTATTGTGTCGTAAACAATTTAGGAACCTTCTTTCAACTTTAACTAAACTTAACTTGGATGCTTAAGCTAAAGCTTCCTTGGAATACTTCATTAAATTCAACCTTAAAACGATGCGTCTAATTGAATTTGTAACGGCGTAGAATTTGTAACGGCCGTCTCGTCACACGACATTCAACCCCTCCACCGTCTCGTCACACGACATTCAACCCCTCCACCGTCTCGTCACACAACATTCAACCCGCCTATCTTTGTCTGGACAACTCTCGTGAGCAACTAAAGCCCTCACACTCGCTGGAATTGAGTGTATCTTTATTTACAACCAAAATAATAACAACGTGATGTAACCGGTGATCGAGTATTTAAAACAAGAAATTCCATTTATTAACTTTTACTAGGAATGTTATTTGTGTATCTTTATTCAATTACCTTCCTTGATGAGAAGCTGGCTGGGCGACTCAGCAGCCAGTCTTTGCCTAGTCTGCGTTACCCTCTGTCTGTCCACCTACAAACAAAGCTCAGTTGTTGTATTTGTAGCCATTGCGTCTCCGGAAAATACATGTCGCTTTTTTGGCTTCCACCCGCCAGTCTATTGACCCACTTAATTGTTACCCTCCGCCATTAAAAACCATTAGCGAAGTATAGGTAGCCCTTCAATAGACCGCTCATGGTTTTTAATGGAAACCCTTTACGTGTGTAGTATGGCGGGTTATGTGCGTAGGTTGGGTAATTCGCTGCTCTTAATATTGTGTAACTCATAGCGATGTATTTAAGATGCGTTCTCTTACACATTAAAGCTTCATAATATTGAATAAATACTTTCATTTGGCTGCTTCTGAGTGATATTTAATTTACTCGAGTTACGTAATGAGTTCTGGATGGCCACTCCAGAATTTATTAATAACTCTCTTCTCTACTATAACGCTCTGGCTTCAAAATATCAATGCCTGATTCTTACATTATACTCTAATCATAATAGCTATTACGTGAGTGTGTGCAACACGATTTTTGCATGATGTCATCTACAATGCCTATCCATCCCTCGTAATCTAGCACCTCTGGGCAGTCTTACGTTGAATATTGCTTACAAACGTATTGCTACTTCCCTCTAATACCATCTGATACTAGATTATTGTTCTTTCATTCTTATCATTTGCTTTAATCGTTTATTTATAGCCGCAAGGAAACGACTGCTGCTAACAAAATCTCTTTACCAATACACTGTATTATGGCAAGCGAACAAAGAGTTGACGAACTCATGACAATGTTGAAAAATATTTATATACTCTTCCTAAAGACGGATAGTTGGAATGTTTGCATTTAATTGCCTGTTTACACATTTGCAGTTTGATCATGAGAGTGCCGTACCGTTTTGGAGGAAACATTCATTTAAGTCGATTGTTATTTTACGGAAGCGAATCATGTTCATCATGTTGCTCAAAGAATTAGCATCCGTTCTGGCCGGCCCATTGACAGTATTCTTTCAAAAAACCTTGAACGAAGGAACTTTGCCGTCCGACTGGAAAGAAGCTCAAGTAACACCATTGTTCAAAAAAGGTGACAAAAGAACGAGTTTAGATCTATGAACAAGGCACGAAATGGAAAAGAATCGGCGACAGGCCACATCAGGCCTACACTTCAGAGCCGACATCACTATGTTATGTTATGTTATGTTATGTTAATCGCCACGTATCCAATTTCTGACCTTACTCCCTCATTGTCATTAGTTGTTGTGACGTTTGTGAGATATTCAAAATACTTTTCTCCGGCAAAAAAATAATATCCTGCAATATTATTATGATTTAATGATGGTTACAAAACAAAATTATTACAGATGGAAAGAGACGATCGCGCTACCGAAGTCGAAGTTCTTAAAGACAAGTTGGAAAAGCTTCAGATCCACTTCACTAAAGCGCAGGACGAAAGGGACATGGCTAACCGTGAGGTCGAAAGGGCGCTCGAGAAGTTTGACAAGTAAGCTAGCAAGTATGGGAATATTATCAACAAATAAAACAATTTTAAACAAAATTTGCTCGGATATCTATACAGGCGTCACCGCTGCTGTCACAGTTATGAAAATTTGGTGAAGGATTTTAGTTATACGACAATAGTTTTATTAAAACATGACCAATAATTTTCTGGTGATCTCTCATTTCATTTTGTGGTTTACAAAGTATCTATTTTTCCTGCAAACAGATCACAGTCGGACATCTATCGTCTGCAGACCAAGTACGAATCGGCCCAAGCCGACAACGAACGATTGCAAGTTGAGATCGAGAAGACGCAGTACCTTATCGAAAAGATCAAGGAAGAGAAACTGAGGCTGCAAGAAGAGAACGACAGAATGCAAGATGCTTACGACAGGGCAAGTATGCAAGGTGTACGGTCCAAAGAAGCTGAGGAGAAGTTGAGGGATCAGGTAGAACAAATGAACGTCGACATGACTATCATGAAGGAGCGATATGATAAAACTGCGAGCGAGTTCCGAAGAGTAGGAGCCGAGAAAGAAAAACTGCAAAACGACGTCGAACATCTAACATACGAACTTGAGCGAGCCTTGTCTCAGTACACGAAAGCCCAGAGTATCCAAACAAAGAATCAAGAAGAAATTGCAAGATTGCAAATTGACGTTGAAAAATACAAGGACAAGTTCGAGAGGAACTCTCTGGAATTGACGAAAGCTAAAGTCGATAAAGAGAAGGCGCAGCAGGAGTGTGACACCGTGCAGAATGAGCTGGACAGAGTCCTCATAAGACTCGGCAAGTATCAAGACAGTCAAGACAAAGCGAAGAGTGACCAAGAAATTCTTAAAATCGAAGTTGAGAAGCTCAAAGACAAACTCGAGAAGGTGCAGATGGAGTTCGAGCGAGAAACAAAGCTCCGTGATAAGTACGAGAAAGAAGTCACCAAGTTAAAAGTTGATATGGAACGAGCAGACCAGTACAAGGGAAGATATCAATTGGACTCAGAAAAGCACAAAACTGACAGTGAGAAACTTCTTGCCGAAAACGAAAAGTTGCGGGAGCAGTACGAACACACTCAACTCGAGCTACAGAGAACCAGGATCACTCTTGAGAAATACACTGATGAACTAGCAGCTACCAAGCCTGGCCCTGACCGAGGCAGACGATCACCTTATCAAGAACATCCTGGCAGCGAAGTTGATCGTCTCAGTATAGAATTAGAAAAGATAAAAGATAAATACGAACGGTCCCAAATCGAGGTTACCCGATCGCATCAAAGGGTAGACAAGCTGGAAAGTGAAAACGACAGACTTCGGAGCGACCTGCAAATCACTCAAAGCCAGCTCGACCGCTTCCTCTCATCGACCGAGAAAACAAAGACTGATGCTGAAAGGACCAGCATCGAGGTGGAAAAACTTCAGGATAAGTTAGAACGAGCTCAGGCGGAGTTGAACCGTGTGATGGCTGGTAGAGAAAAAGCTGAGCTCGAAGTCCAGCGGCTAACGCACGAAATGGAACGTTCCCAGAAACACATGAACAAGTACCATGAAAGCAACGAATCTACAAAGATTGAATTTGAACGCATGTCAGTTGAACTCGAAAAGTTGCACGAGAAGCTCGAAAAAGCTCAGACTGAACTAAAGTGGGTAAATGAAGTCAAAGAGAAGCTTGAAATTGAGAATACCAACCTAAGAAAAGATATGGATGAGACAAAAAATATGATCGGCAAGGCTACTGACATTCATCAGAGATCCAACACGGACATGGATCGCTGTAAAGAAGAAATTATTAGGCTGAACAAACTCCTGGAACGCAGTAAGGATGAGCTGGCCAAGGTGTCGGCTGAGAAAGAGAAACTCGGTTCGGCTCTTGAAAAACAAGAAAAATTAATAGCCAAATGGGAAGCCGAACACCGCCAACTCCAGCAAGAAAGAGACCAAGTAGTGAAGCAGTTGGAAAAAAGTCAGGACATGCTCATAAATTTCCAACAGGAACTCAATCAATCAGAGTCTGAGTTGCAGAAATCCAAAGATGAAGCTAAGCGCCTTAAGACTGAACTTAACACTGCCACGAAAGAGCTAGAGCACGGCACCAAGGAGCTTTTGGACAACCGAGAGAAGGAGATTCAGAAAATATCAGCACAACTTCAGAATAAGGAAAAAGAGTTCAACGCACTCAGAGCTGAAGCCGAGAAAGAAGTTCAGAAGCTGCAACAAGAAACTCAAAAAGCCCAGCAAAATGCACAAGCTGCACAAAAAGAAGCCGTTTTGATTCAGAAAGAAGCTGAAAAAGAGCTAAAGAATTTAATTGTTCAGCTCCAGAGTAAAGAGAAGGAGCTGGCTAACACGAGAGCAGAGTCAGATAAACTACGTTTGAAAATCGAAAAGATCGAACACGAACTAAAGGAAACCAAGCGGCGTCTTCTAGAAGCTCAGTCCCACGGAGAAGGCGAGCAGAGCAAGATGCAGCAGCAGCTCATCAACGAAAATACCAGAGCCGACCAGGCAGAGAAAGCCGTTCAGGAGCTCCAAAATAAGTTACAATCGCTTTCTCAAGAAAATGCCAAGATGAATCAGGAGGTGCAGCAACTTAACCAAAAGAATACCCAGCTCAACCAACAGATCAGTCAATTAACTCAACAGAATCAGCAACTCAACCAAGAAATGTCCCTGCAAACCGACAAGCAGGGAAGTGAATCTGAACAAAGGGAAAGTCAAATCCAGCATCTTAACAATCAACTACAAACCCAGACCCAACTTTCGCAGACGCAGTCCAAGCAGCTGCAGCAGTATTCCCAACAAGTCCAGCAACAGACCACGCAGATTCAGCAACAAACAAACCAAATTCAACAACTCAATCATCAAGTTCAGCAGCTGCAGCAACAGGTTCAGACTCATGCCAAAGATACACCGGAAACGCAAAAGTTACGGATGGACGTGGACCGAATCTCGAACGATCTGCAGAGCGCCAACGTGGAGAAACAGCGCCTGCAGTCGCAGCTTGAGATGCTCGTGGCAGAACTAGAAAAATCTCAGGTAACATCAGTATTAGAAACTTATTGAAAACTTGAATTATACACGTACTATTATTGAATAAGTACGATTTATCAAAACTCTGGAATTATTTAGACCATTAGTTTGTGGTTACAAGAGATGAATGCTACTGTGATACATAATTTAAAAAAGATTTAAATGATATATATTTTAGTGTCATTGATAGAAGACTTTAATATTGTGCAAAATTTCATCATTTTTACTTGTGAATGTATCCTGTTTAACTCTGCTATTTTTATGTTCATTTATTAAGCCCCAGGTTTTCAGACTTCCCGTCTGAATTGCTATGACCAAATCAGCAAACACCGTAAGAATGTTATCGTTTTGTGATAGTGATTTTGATACTAAAATGTGTGCCTTTCATACTGACTTGCTAACGCGTAACGTCTAACACCAATTTTTAACAGCATGAAGCTATGACTAATTTTTTTATTTTTTAAACATAGGTATATTATGTCGAACTTACAATAATAAAACTCTAATTTCCGTTCAATCACCGGCCTACAAAACAACATTCACTGCTCGACCTACAACGAACAGAGCAGACGACGAACTCGAAGCGCTTACCCTCTCACCTAATTCATGTCATGAAGCTTATGCCAAACCATCGTTTGTTTTCATTTCAAAAAATAAATTACAGTTTTTCCAGTCAAACGACACTAAGTGAGAAAAGAAAAAGAAAGAACTAAGAAACTATTTATAAATGTTTTGTTCATAGGACTAATAATTTAATATGTGCTTTCTCTCACCGTGGAATTCGATTTCCTCAGCTCGACCTTCACGACGCGAACCACAAACTGGAAGGTGCAATACAGCGCGGCAACGAAGAGGCCCAAATGATGCGGCAAAAAGCCGAGGAACAAATGAAGATCAACGAGCAGAAGTCCAAGAACCTGGAACTGAAGAGCAAGCAGCTGGACGACCGCCAGAAGACACTCAACGAACTGGAGGCCAGACTCGCCAACAAGAAGACCCAGCTGGACCAGCTTGAGGCCCAGCTAAATAAGGCGGGTTTGATTTCCTTAAATATCTTGATTGGTTTTCTTACAACCGAAATTTTTCTAATATTGTTTCTTTTCCTGTTCTCTTCTCACTTGGTTTATGAATGTAGGTGGGTGTAAAAATTCATCAAAAAAATTGATGGCCATGTTTCAAAGTTGCCCGTAAGATGAACCGCGGATAGCAAGTGAATGTGGTGATTCATATGTTAAATGTGAATTACTATTTTTATCCGAATAAATATAATTTTATCATCATTACTCAAGTCTACACCCATAACATTAGATAAGAAAACACTATTCCCCACAGGGCCAGGAGGGGATGACTGGTAACGAGGCAACCCAGCAGTTAGCAGAGCTGCGTCGGGCTATGGGGGAGCGTGAGGCTGAGCTCGACGCCCTCAAGAAGGAGCGGGACAAGGCGGTGGCTGAGAACCGTGCCACGCAGTCAGAGACCGAGCGTCTCCTGCAGCTCATGCAGATGGGACAAGAAGAGCAGTTCGCCAAGGACAAGACCATCATGGAGCTGCAGGAGTGAGTCTTAGTGTCCTGGTATTCGGTGATGCTTGGCGTAGCAGCGAATGGCTTGTTGGGTTAACTAGTAAATGGATTTGTTCTGCGGATCAATACATGGTTCATTCGGTTCACTAAGAAATGGTATATTCGGTTTACCAGAGAATGGTAGATTCGGTTTACTAGCAAATGGTTTGCAAGGTTTACCAGCGAATGGTTCATTCGGTTCACCAGCGAATGACTTGCAAGATTTACCAGCAAACGAATTTTCTCTGTTTACAAGGAATGACTTATTCGATTTAGAAGAAACTTATTTGCTGACTATCTAATGGTTCTTCTGCATAATTATTCGCGCAAGCTTAAATAATGATGTTTTAGGTCATCATTGGTGCCGGTGTACTCCCGAATTGGTCGTTCGTAGTTTGAGTTTGTCCAAGCCACTACCCACAGAAGGAGAAAGAATTGATTTTGACTATTACTCCTCATAAAATATCCCGTCGTCTTATAATTTTATCTTGGCTGTTATCAGTTTCCTGATACTATAATTGTATCATAAATTCAAATCCCTGTTAATAACTTTATTGTGCTATGTTTAAAACATATTCGTCGTATTCAGTTAACATGAAACGTGTCTGAGATGCGACGAGACTGTGTCTCTCCTATTGCCAAGTTATGAGCTCATTTATTTCATTCAGCATCCGATTTCTTAGTTATGAAATGAATGAATTGTGTGACCAGGGCCCTGAAAGCTGAGCGAAGTGGCAGACAACTTGGCCCGCGGCCTCAGCCTGCTGCTGGGCCAAGACCCGCTGCCCCCCAACAGCAGCAACCACAACAACCACAACCTCAGCAGCAGCAAGTTAGACCACCACTACAACAACAACAACAAATTCGTCCGCAGCAGCAACAAGCACAACAACAACAGCAGCAACAACAACTACAGCAAAGTGCTACCCCAGGTGCCGGGCAACAGCAACAGCCACCAACCGCAGCTCCGGCACAATCCAATCAAGCTGCTGCAGCGCCTACGCAACAAAAACAACAACAAGGGCAACAGCAACAACCACAACAACAGCAACAACAGCCAGGACAGCCGCAGCAGCTAGCTGCCAATTTGTTAGGCTCAGGAGCAGCGGCCGAGACTTTTGCAGCCGCTGAAAAAGCCACGGCGCAGGCTACTGAGGCCGCTAAAGCCACACTCCTCCAAGCCAAGAATGTGGCGCAGGTCAGTTTGTCAGGAGTGCGCAAATTCTTGCCTTGAATACTCATACTAAAAAAAATATTCCGCCATGGCACTCACCCATCCCCTCTCCGAGTCTATGCCTTCGAACCACATCGTGTTTAACAAAACACCTAACGAAAATAATCGTTTTCGTCCAATGGACTTCCTTGATCTGCTTTATTTCCGTCTAATTTTAAATGATTATTTTTGTTTCTTTGTTGTCTTCTTTCTGATATCCTTCTTTTTCTGTTACAAACCTTCGTCACGTCGGCTCCTTGCATCGTTAAAGCACACTAGTCTTCTCATTAGAAGCTTCATCTCTAATCGTTTAATCTAATAACGTAAATCGTGTTCAAAAGCGTTCAAATTGAACTTTATATACATCGAAAACCTTTTAGAGCATTTACACTTGTTACGGATATATATCAACTATATGCAGGCTTGTCAACTTGTCAAATCTTTACTGTCCGCAACGACGGGAAGTTTGGCGTTAAGTTCATGACAAAGCTATAGGAGGTTATGAGCGAAATATTTCTTTTCACTTCTAGGCTATTCAAACGAATAAAATCATCGTCAATATCTGATAAAACCACCACTTTCTTATAGTCTGAAATAATTGCTTGATAGATTTGAGCGTCACTTGAGTTGCCAAATTGGCTTCATTACTAGACTCCCTAGAACGTGTGTGCCCAATAAAATTACGTAGGCTCCACGTGGCTTTGTTCAAACAATCAAGTGGTTTCAAGTTACGAGTATCTGTTCAGCAAAAGTTCATATTAATAAATTCTCACGCCCACAGCTAGGTATCATAGACTAGTACGTGTGTGGATGTTGCATCTGTTCGTGGTGTACCCTCGCCATACCAACATACCCTCTGTATCCTCATAAGTTGTCCTGTCAATGTAAGGTCTTATCGACGATTGTTCCTGTCCGGTCTTCATTTATCCATTTATTATCAGTCCCATTTATCCATTTATTATCAGTTTTTCCCAACAAGCCACTAAGAATTTTCTTTCATAATGAGGCAGATTTATTTTCACTTGTTAGTTTCCAACAAATTGCGAAGTAGTTGTTCTCAGTTTCTTTTTATTGGTAAAAAGTTTATCGTCCAGAGAGACCAGCATAAATTGGAGGTTTACCTCGACCCCGAAATGAACTAATTCGCAGAGTCACCGGTGAGTGAGGCCCATACCTGACGGTCTCACACAAGCAGTGTGAGTGAGTCTTAGGACGGTGACCTTGCAGTCTCACACTCATAGTGTGAGTGAGTCCTATAGGACCTTGCAGTCTCACACTGGCAGTGTGAGTGAGTCCAATACCTGACGCTCTCACACTAGCAGTGTGACTCATGACCGTCTTGACACTCAATACTCAATCTCTCCTGGAGCGTCAAATTTCAGCACCTGCTTGTCTCGACTCATAACCAATATTAACATTAATTGGTGGATTATTTCTATTATTGATGGAGGTTCTTCAAGTTTAATTTTATCGACTTCAAAAGTCTGTCACTCTTGATTCTATAATTTTTCTGTTTAAAAGCGTTCTGTCATGAGTTTTCTCTCATATTTTCATGAAACCTGTGATTTCAAAGTTAACCATCGCTGATGAGCTGGAGGTAGAACGCCTGGATGTTCATCTATGCTTATAATATTGCTATATTTTCTATCTTTTTATGATGCCTGAGCATCATAAATGCCTATCAATTGTGTTTGTATGTATTACGCAGTGTTTCTGTGATGAAATCAACGTGTGAAGGACTGTGTTGCAACGTAAGCGTTGCACATAGTGCATTCAACATTTTGTATAAGTAACACATGCAATGTATATGTGGCACAGCTCTACACATACAGTGCCTGTGTGTTGTATAATCTGTTACAATGTCCTGAAGTCCCTACGTATGTGTAATGTATTCCATGTGTTAATCGCCTATGGGTGATATACAGTTATACATGAATGCGACGTAGGTGTTACACTTTACGTTGCAACACAAGCTCCGTGCTACACTGTACGTGCAACACAAGCTCCGTACTACACTGTACGTGCAACACGAGCTCCGTGCTACACTGTACGTGCAACACAAGCTCCGTGCTACACTGTACGTGCAACACAAGCTCCGTGCTACACTGTACGTGCAACTCTGTTAGATTCCCTCAAGAAATGTTCGGTGTTGCCTCCACTAACTTTTCTCTCGCTCTTCCCTCACATTTCCCCTCACGGACGCGGCTGGTGCTGACCATCTCTCTGTACCCTCGCTGGACCCTCGCTTACGAGTCAATTCCCTTGAATGTGCCCTCGAATTTCACTTCTTACCAGCGCATTAATAATAATAATGGCATGTTTATGTGTTATATGCTTTTAACGATGAATTACTGTGCCGTTTGTCGATTATTTTCCACCGGCTTTCCATTTCTGCTAAGTATTAAATTTGCATGTTTAAATCTGGTTATAAATGTGTATTTATTTGTTACAAAACTGCTTGAAATTATCACTTAATTTTTTCCATTTTCAAATCATAATTGTTCGACCATACCTTAATCATTTCTATTCATTGTTTATGCCACGACCGCTTGATGTTGTTGCTTGCTGCCTCCTATTTCCCCTGAATTGCCACTTTATTTCTAATTAACAATGATCGTTGCTTTTATTCTCCCGATCATGTTATTATTTGATCCATTTGGATTTTTTTCCTTTCCAATGTTATTAATTTATTCAAATGTCTTGCTTTTCTATTCGTTCTGATTCTTCTGCATGGACCTAATCTTTATTGTACATTGCCACCTGCTGTATCTTTCAATTTGTGTCTTGATTTTTCGACACCAATGAATGTTTACGACATCAATGAATTTTTACGACACCAATGAATGTTTACGACATTAATGAATTTTTACGATACCAATTAATTTTTATGACAACAAATTTTCACGGCGCCAATGAATATTCACGATATTAATGAATTTTTACGACATCAACAAATTTTCGCGACATCAATTAATTTTTATATCAACAAATTACACAAAATACATAACAACAATAATAACAAAAACGCTGTTTGTTCATTCTGCACATTCTTATTGGTTTGAATTGCTAACTTAACTGCCGTCTAAAAAACTTATTAATAACCTCCCAAAAATTATGATCAATGTTTCATTCTTTGTCTATTTGGCTGTTATTGTCAATATGAGTACTGCTGAATCAATGCGTACTGCTGAATCCATCGTACGTTTTTCGGTCATTAACATCTTTCCATTTGCTGTTTCGCATATTTTGAGGAAGTTTGCTCATTTTCTTTAATTTCTTGATATACTTAACTTTTATTTTGACTTAAAAACAATCCCATGAAAACACTTTTTATATGGATATTATTTTTTATTCAACATTTGATTGCGATATTGTCTTTAATGCAATTGATAATTTTTGCGTCGCATTGATTTGCGAGGTCTAATATTAACTCATACAGCCGCTACAAAACGCAGCCTCGGGCTTCTCAGGCCTCATGAAGAGCTTCTTCTAAGCCACAAACCGAAAGATTAAACTAAAATTTGCTATAATTTCTCTCTTTCTCGTCGATCAATAATAAGTTTGTCTCAGATCAAACAGCACTTCCCTCTTTTCCAATTTAAAATTCTACTCAATTCAACACTCGAAACGGAGATACACTATTCGGCTTCCCACTCAAGATGGGTCTAACCACTTGACTTACCACTCGAGTCAATAATTAACCTCTTAATTTACCACTCGAGTAGATGATAAAACACTCAACTTTCTAGTCAAGAAGTGGACTAGAATGAATGGAATATGAAGGACAATACTGCACACTTGACCGAATTACCGCACCATTCTTTGCCATTGCTTTTCTTCTTACGTGATGCTGCTGTCTGCAACCAAACCAAGCAGAGCAGTTCACACAAACTCGAGGTGCTTCACAAGTAGTTGTGTATTTTGAGGGTTTAATTTCCAAACTGTTCTTTGTACATCTGTTTTTATAACTTTCTACTGCTTTAGGTATTATATATTTCGATTGCGATATTTTGGTGTTGTGAGTCCTTTTTTGGAGCTGCTCTTTGAAGGCTTCATAAGTAGGCTTGTATATTCAATTCTTTTTAGCAAGAGTTCATAGCTCAGAAGAGTTTTGATTGCCCTTCACTTTATGGTTCATTTATTTGCATGCATGTGCCTTTCAAGTTACTCTTTCTAATTTATGTTTTTTTCATCTCCATGGCAACTGTTGAAATACACACCTACGCACATTCAATTACTTTTGTTCAACTGTTCAATTCAATTCGAGTTCTTCAAAATGGTGCTATTTTTCGAAACACATTCTGTTCGTGGTCAAGTCCACTGATGACCATCGATCATCTTCATGCGAGTGCTATTCCTAACGAATGGATACGAAAAACACCAATAAGAACACAATAAAATCCTGATCAGACTTTTAACGAAATTCGGCGGTGTAGTCGGCAATTCCTCAGTGGAGATCTAAGTTTCAACTAAAGTACTTGGCCCAAAAAACATGTCAAGAACACGAGATTTTGCTTGTCGAGTTGGAGGGTCGCGACAGGGAACAGCAACTTCTGATCAACCAACTTCAAGTGGATATTAAAATAAAGGAATCAATAATAGATCAGCTGAAGCAGGCGAACGCGAAATATGCAGACAGAATTGAGGAGCTAGAAGAAGAGATTAAGGCTCTAGAAGAGGAGCTCAGGAAGATGGAGTCTCTAGAAGAGATGGAGGAGATGATCTCGGTGCTGAAACAGAAGAACCAGCGGGTGGAAGAGCTTGAAGAAGCTCTGCGCCAGAGCGTCACCATCACGACAGAGATTGAGATCGAGAAGGAACAAGAGCGAGACAAGATGAAGTTCATTACGGAGAAGGTAAGAGCGGTCTGTCTCGCATTAAGTAACTTTCGCCTGTGGGATCACATAAACAATGTTTAAGAATCTAGAGATAATATTAGTTCATTAAATTGATTGCTTCAATAATCGTAAAGCTGCATCTTTGTTGAACATAAGTTCGATCTTCATAATTACAATCATTCGATCTCCTGCTTTTCATATATGCCGAAAATTATCGTTAAATAACGCACAGGGTTCCATTAATTGTTCAATGTCTCCATTTCATTCTTTCAATCGTCGATCTGAATGCCTTCAGCATGGATGTTCTTCGTTTCTATTATAGAATTTCCGCTTCTTCAATTACGCTAATATGAAGAATACATATAGCAAAGCTTTCATGACGTTGGAATGATTGTCCCGCTGAGCTTTTTACATTCTACTGATTGTATTTTGTGGGACAGTTGTTTTCGGCTCGATGATTCATAATATATATGTGTTCCCGTTTGCCTTAACTGAGGCGAATAATTTCGACGCGAGAATGCACGGACTATACAGGGAAAACATCGTACGCTTTGAGTTATTTACAAAATGTTTTCTTACCTTATGACTTTCGTAATCATGTACTCAGGCCGGCTCCAATTTAAAACACTTCCGTGTGTTTCTTGAATTTTTATATCCTATTTCTATACTGGATGTGTGAAATCTGGAAAAGATTGTCGTAGTTCTGATCGACCAAATTTAATTAATGTTTAGGACCTGAAATTCGTTTACGGCAACTAATGTATATTTCATGAGTTATAGATGATATTTTCGAGTGAGAGATTGGTAAAATATTTCCCAATTACATTTCTTGTGAAAAACCTGGAGATAAAAATACAAGTTGGCTTCATACGCTCTACAAGTTATAGTGTGATGTGTAAAACACGCTTTTCAAATAAAATTAGCGATCAGTAATTTCATAATTATTTTACTTAGAAAGCAAAATGACAGTTTGCTTCTCTCTGGAAATCTGATCGCATAAACCTGATTCCAAATTAATGTATTCTAGCTAGAGAAGTTAGAGCGGAACCTGCAGAAGGCAAAAGCGGACCGCGCTAAGGACGCTCCGTGTCGCGAGTGCGCCGAACTCAGCCACAAACTCCAGCGCACCTCCGACCAACTCGCGACCATGATGGCTCAGCGGCGCCAGCATCTCGAGGAACTCTTTCACATGAAGTACGACTAATGTTATTCTTACCAATAATAATACCTAATGGTATTCTTACTTACTGTTATAATACGGCTATAAGCAAAATAGATACCGTGTTGGCTCAGCGGCGTTTACTTCTCGAGAATTGTTAAGTCTTCCGCATGAAGTACGTTGTCTGCTTAGCATAAACTTACAAATAATGATAATACAGTTACAAGTAAAGTAAGTCGAGCTCGTCATCTCGAAGAAATTTACCATTTTAAGATCTTAGTTGATTTTTTGTCGTCTTAGCGCAGATGTTGCTTATGCACCATCAACAGTAACGAGAAGCATGAAGTAATTCAGTTGCTTAGTAATGAACTCCGTTAACATCCGCTGCACTCTTCACATGCATCTTCAAATTATTTCCAATGCGATATTTTATTAACTGTATCATACAAACCCAGTGTTTGAAATACAATTAACCAGTGCAGTAAATAATGCTCAGAGAACAAGAATGATATCAATGAAGTAAGTGCTAGCGGCTCCAGGTAATGAGTTCATCGTAATGGTGAATGAACTTTATAATCTTTCCTTATGATAGCTATTTCAATTAATAAGCTCATCCTAATGGTGAATGAACTTTGTAAACATTTTTCATGATGAATGTGCAGGCGTGAGGCGCTGATGTCAGCGCTGAGTGAGAAGGACGCGCACATCGCACTGCTGCAGGAGGGACAGCGCACCGACCCTCGCACCGCACACGTGGAGCACCAGCGGCTGACACATGAGCGCACCGCCGTGCTGCGCGCCATACAGCACCAGGTGAATGACACAGGGTTGGAGGTGTACTGGGGATCCTTATCACCTTATTATCCTTGCTCATCATGGTATCCTTGGTATCCTTGGTATCTTTACTATCCTTGGTATCCTTGCTATCTTTGGATCTTAGTTATCATTGGTATCCTTGCTACATGTGTCCTTGCTATCCTTCCTTTCCTTGGTATCTTTGCTCTCTGGTATTCTTGCTATCCTTTGTAAGCGCTTTGGACGTAGCAGTCCCATGCAGGCCAGGCTGAAGGCATTTGCCTTCTCTCGGAAGGCTGGCCGTTCTCACCATCAGTACAGGAAATTAAGAAAAAGAAATGTAAGCAACCTTGGCTTTGCAAAAACTGGGTAAGCAAAGTAACAAAGCTAAAAGTTACCTTTTTAGCAACAAAATCGAGATTTGATAGCGTAATAGATCAAAGTAGTGTGTTTTTAACACGCAAATGTTTATATTCAGAACATTCTTAATCCCCAGGACGAGGAACAGATGAAACTGCTTGCTGAATTTGGAGGCCCACCCGGCGACTCACGTGGACAAAAGCTTCCCGGCTCACCTCCCATGGCGGTAAGTAAATGATCTACTGTACTACCTTCTACGTACCACTACCATGGCGGTATGTAGATGATCAACTACCTTCTACGTACCACTACCGTGGCGGTAAGTAGATGATCAACTACCTTTTAAATACATGTACCATGGCGGAAAGATAATGATGAACTATATGCTGTATAACTACTGCTACCAGGGCGGCAAGTATATGATGATGTATCTTCTATTCTTCATATCTTCTTCATAAATGATATTAAGAAGAAGTGACAATGAATTTTCAAGTCACTTTATTGTGCAAGTTTTTCTTTACAATTCTAAGTCTTAACATGCTAATCATGTGAACAATAAAATAAAAGTAAATGTGTGATTTTAAATCAGAACTTAACAAATTCCAATTGCGACTTCCTGTGAATTGAATTAATTATATATATTCATGTCTGTTAAATTTTAATTCAGGCACGTGAAAAATAAAAAATGTACCAACGTTTCATTCTTTTTCTGTCATGTTTTAGCAATAGTGCCAGCCTTCTGGAATGAAAAATAAGGAATGAAATCCTTTACCCTAAGAGGATTAGTTTAAAAGAGAGGGTACACAGAGATATTAAGTAAAGTCAAATAATTTATAGGGCCCCAATAGTCCCACGAAGAAATTATCACTAATGCTCTTATACTTCCATGCTAATTTAATTATATTGTATATAAGTTAAACTATGTTATTTATTTATATATTTTCAGGAATTTGGGTCGCTAAAGACGCCAAGCACCGAAGGCGACGATGACGTATTTGTGTCTCCTAAGAAATTCGATGATAGCGGCGCCTCCGAAGTCAACAATGTATTTTCACCCGCTATTACTTCGTCTCCTGAGTCTGCCGACGAACCGTCTACCAAACAAGGCCTATCGAAGGGTTACAATTATCAGGAGCCCGTTCAGGATCAACAACAAGAAATTAGCGTCTGTCATCGGCCTCTCAAAGTTTGCACCTACTCATCCAAAGAGTTTCGTCAGAAGCACTCTTATGACGCTCCTGGGCCTTCCGAACGGTCAGGGATGAGCGATATTCCTTCAACTTTATTCGCAGAGTCGAGAAAGCCTACGAATATTGGACCCTCCACGACTACTTCTACAGGTACCACCCAAGCTGATGTAAAGACTAGAGCTTCGTGCATGTCGGAAGATCTCGTGACGGCTTCCAGCTCAACTTCATACACTTTCCACTCGGCCGCCAAAGATCGTGAGCCCAGCGCAGAAGGTTGTAGTGCTCACCCGAGTGTTGATGACAGTCTTGTCGGAACTGAGTTCTTCTCGCTGTCAGAAATGGCTGCAGAAGACAACAGCGTCCTTGAAACCGAAAGTAAAACTGAAGTCGAGAGTATTTCTGCGACTGAAGCTCCGTCTTCTGACAGTGACTCAGAAGCCGAGAGTCTGCAGAATTGCGAGAAAGCAGCCGATGCGGAAGTTGGTATAGACAAATCTTTAAAGGATGCTGAAGGAAAGAAGAAATTGTCTCTTTCAGAGTCTTTTGAAGGTGAGGGGTTGCCAACTGTCACGACTTCAGCACCAAGTGGAGCTGAAGGAAGCAGAGAACATGACACAACAAACCAAGCATCGAACACTGAAATGTGAAAAGATAGTTGGCTATAAACGACATTTCGTTATGTTACGTCTACGAAAGTGATTCTAACCTTACCAATATATTCAGAAAATGTATTGATTAAATTAGTTGGTAGGTAACTATTAACAAAACATTATGTTAACTTGAGAATAAATGAGTGTGAGAAAGGTTTGAGCAATCGCATGCTTCACAGTGCTTGCTGTGAAATTTTGTGCATGCCTTACTTACATGACTTATCTTTGCCTGGATAATTATCTCTCCTCTGAAGACTGTTCGCTGAACCCTCGATATTATACCTCAATATTCCCTTGGTGTGATTGCTCTCGCAATAGTAAAATAAAACCGTTGTTTGCCCTGGATATGTGTAGATGTGAAGTATGTGCAAAGGGTTACGTAACCGAATTTTTGGCCCGATAAAAGCCGAGTGTTTGTCCTTCGCTACCGAATTGATGAAAGGATGCTGAAAAGTTGTGATTCCGAACTACAAGACTTGGACGGAGTTGCCAGTTTCAAAGCGAATTTACTGCCATATGAATATATTTTGGCGTCACGTGTTAGCGTGAGCGTCTTAGAGCTAATGTAGTTCATTCTCCTCTCTTGTATAACGTGTGGCGCTCCATTTACCAATTTAGATCCTAAGACCATATTATGAACTGTCGTGTGTAATTTCATAGATTTAAGTGAACGGTTGAGAATAGAATTGTTGTTCATTAATATTATTGCGATCAAGCATATATCACTACCCTAGGATACCATCGATAAGGTGATACTTGTGATTATTACTTACTTAGTTTATTTCGTATCGTGCTATTTTCGACAAAGTTACCTATGTATAATTGTCAAGCTTTCACTTCGGTATATTTTGACAGGTTATTGATATCTTCGGTGAACGACATCGGTGGTCGCTCATCAAAAGGAATTAGTTTTTTGGACTTTTGTAACTTTTGATTAACATGGAAGATTTGAAGCCCGTATAATTGACTTGTTAATTAGGAATGTGTTCGCTTACCTGAGATGTTTCATATCTTCATCTGTTGACCAGACCTATAAAATAAGTCTAGGTAATAAGCCTAATAAATACGTTTCTTCTAAACTGCATGTGACTTGTCTTTGCCTAGTGACTTTCTTCATATTCCCGACTTCTTCTGTCATTTCGCTGTCTCACCACATACATTGTCGTCATTTCTGTCAATTGATTCCAGTGAGGTTCCATCTTTCATCTTGTATCTCCAAAAATACACAACATAATGAATTCAACTTTTTTGAAAATTTCAGTTTTATATGCAATAAGATTAGTGATATTTAACATATTTAACAATTGGACATTAAATAATTACTGGTTGGCAACAATCTAGGTTAATTGTGTTCGTTAGCCGTTTTCACCTCACTGCGCGGGGATCGTGTTGTAGGTAATCATATGTTTTATTAAAGCAGATGTCAAGAATTGATGATAATTGTTTTAGTAGGACGAAATCCCAACAATCTAACCATCATCATCGGTCTCCATTAACCTGTTCTGAGAAGGAAAACATGCATGAGTAAGTCTGGTCATTCCTTCCACTGTTTCCAAGTCTGTTGGGGAAATTAGGTTTCTTCAGGTGAACTAACGAGTTCGGCATCACCAGCACAGTAGCATCACCCGGTGCTCTGTTAATGACAGCGCGAAGCTAATGTTGGAAAGTTTGATTTTTTAACCTTAGTAATTATTTCTTGCCAGTTCAAAAATAATTTTCTATACAATTCATTGGACACACAAAGGATTATCAGGATCAGCGTCATAGCAAATAATTTTTATTAGTTTACCCCAGTTTGTTGAGAGACCTCTTCTCTGTCATAATTTGTTGTTGCACTCGAATATTATGTACTTACGCGTAATTTAAATAACTGGCATGATGAAAGGTAGAATAATTGAACTATTATAATTACCAATATATTAGAAGAATGTAAGAAACGTGCAGATATGTACTATAAAAGATTTCTGACATATCCGAGCACAACGAGTCGTCCCAAGAAAAGGTTGTGTTCAGTTCGGTTATCCGCGAGTCTGTACTTAATGAATGACATTATCCACTATGCCTTCACTTCACCATATACCTCCACTTCACCATAGTTTCACAAAGTTCAAACTTGTTATGCGTTACCCTGTTCCCAAATAACCACTTGTCTTATTCCTACGGACCTCATTCGTATTGAGCTTAATTTCTGGTAAAATCAAGTCAAGTTTTTAAATTTAGGACAACTAGTTGAATTCAGAACGAATAATTGATACCACTAATTAAATGTGTATATCGCTATATATTGCCGTTCGTTCATAAAAACTCGATAAGTGGCACGCTGTAGAGATAGGATTACACGCAGAAAAACAATTAAATTATCAAAATTTTTGTTCCCGTCGTGTAGCTACGATTAATATGAGATGCTCGTTTGAATATAGGCCCAATTTTCCTCTCTTATAATGGCATAACTTAACTTCAAACTCTCTTAGTAATAAAGTGTAGTATCAGATAAGCCTTTCATCAGCTAACTCACAATTCTTCATTTACTTAATATCGAATTTCGCTTCGAAATAATCTCGAAATCCCATAGAGGCGCTCAAATGCTACTTCCAAATATATTTAAGGCTGAAATATTTCGGTTATCCCTGAAGTATGGGACCTCAAGCAGTGTCTTGACATTTCCAACTAAATTTCACGCCTGAAGATTGACATGCATCATTCAAGCAAAAATTCAAGCGATAAGGGTTCCACATTTGAATCGGCGTTATTTCTTACCAATCAGGAGCGTGTGATGAAAAAAGATATAAAATTTTTTTCAAATTGTTCATGAATATCAAATGAATTGCCTTAAACAATTATAGAAGATTTCAAGAGATGAAAAGTTTCAGAGTTTCAATGATCAAACCTGCACCGGACTTGGTCCAATACGGCGATTGCTTTAGAGTTCATGGCTGAAAAGTTAGAAAAACAATGGCTATTCGTAAGTACTATCTTCATTGATTTAACTGAAAAATATCATATCAATTTCCTTTGTTGACCATTATTTGGAAAACCAAGCCGGGTGGCTGGTTTTATTGTTGAATGTTTGGCGGGGGAAATGAGCATGCAATAGTCCGTGCGAGGTCATACCGGAAGATATTATTCATCATGTTTAATACGGTTTATTTTTTGTCTTTAATTGCTGAACAAAGATCAATGGTGAAGTGAGAATTGATAGCATGTCCAAGCTACTTAGTTGTTATGGTCTGACAAGAACCTCCCCTTGTTGTGCCTGTACTTGAATGTATTCACTGTTGACTTATAGTCTATTGAAAGAAGAATCTCATGTCACTGGTTACACCTTGTGCAAATGTTCGCGCACGCCAGGCACTATATACGTAGTCTAGTTAGTCGATGTCTGCGATTTACATTACGTTTTATTTGATATTTATAGTTAATTTCATGTGTTTAGGGTGGCTTTAACGGTAGAGCTGATGTTCCTTTAGAGAACGGTAGAGCTGATGATATCGATTAGTTTTCGTTATTTGTGATTGCTTCGATGAAAAAATCACTAGTTTTCGAAATGCAAATTAGTGTATGGGTTGATGTAATGTCAAACTTCCTTTGCGTGATGCTTCGACAACAAGTTTGGTGAAAGTGAAGTAGAAACAAACCCATATGCGGAGTAAGGATAACTTCCTCCAACTTCCACTTTTTAGGCATAAAGTTAGAGGACTTCCAGATGTACGATCGAAGTATTGACTGGTGTTGTGATGCTTAAAGATTTATTTTGTATTGCGTGGTGTTCGTATTGTTGAAATATGAAAATGTTTTGGAAATTTTTGCGTTTTACCATGTTTCTTAATTTTATTTTAAAAATTATGTGAGTGAAAAATCGTTTTGAATTATTTAAAACACAGTTATTTAGCTCATCAATATTTGTCTGTACAGCTTACCCGAAAACTTCCGTCAAGTAGCCCCATGATGTTCAGATTAACACTCGAGTCTTTCATGGTAGCCAAGACGCCATACATAACGACATCAAACATAATAAGAATGATGTCAATCATAATTAAAATGGCGTTAAAAATAAATGAAATAACGAAATTTTATCCCTGCGTATATTTTGACGATTTGTTTCAGCGTTTATTGACGCACTGCAACCAAAATTGTTATACTCCTCGATCTGTTATTCTGTCGAATTTTTTTAGCTTTTGTTTCGTGCAAAAGTATTAAGTGTTTCTTGTTTTAAAGCCTTTTTTTCTGAAATTTTATTTGCTTGCCATATGCCCAGTGGATCAGCTCCTTTTCATTAATTTGCATCAAGACATCAAGAAAATTTATTGGCTCGCTATATGCCCATGCAGTAGATCGTTCCTTATCATTAATTTGCATCAAGAGAATTTTATATGAAAAACAAGCCACCAAATGTTATGAAATTGGACAATTATTCATTTTAAATTTTTCGCGAACTTTGAAGATCAAAATCTTCAGCACTAAATTATACTTTTCGTAAGTCAAGTTACCAGGCCTTTTGGTACGGAAAACATTGACGAAAGTGAATGTACTAATTATATCAGGTTGGTGATGTTGATCTCGACCCATGTCATTCATCCAGTCAATATGTTCGTGCTTAATTCGTTCACTTGCGTTGACAATAGGGCTCGTTTATTATAGGTTGTTTTGATTTATGTTACGTACTTCGTCTACCTGAGAGACAACTCGCGCGTCGAAACAATAAAGTTGAAGATTCCAATTAAGGTTTTTTCTTACCTTACACTTACCTATAGGGGTAAGTGTAAGTGTTACCTTGATATGGGTATATGTTGGTATTATTATATCTTAGTATTGGTATATCTTGGTATAGGTTTACCTTGCTATATGTATTTCTTGGTATAGGTACATATTGGCAAAGGATATATCGTGGTGAAGGTATAT